TTGGGCGGATGTGTGCGTTTTCATAACGCCTAACAAAACAGGAGACAAAGTTTGACAAGGTTAAGGAGCAAGGATGTCCTATAACTGCATATTGTGCTCGTCCGACGACGGCAAAGGGGCGTAGTTTGATTTGAGCAAACTTACAGAGGGCGTGGATGATGCTCAATTTCTAATATACTTAGGAACGCCACTAATTGCCCACTATGTCAGAAAACAGCGACGATCGAAGATAATATAAAATAACGATATCCAAAGGTGGGCATTAACTTGTTAAAAAGTTAAAGTTAAGTTAAAAAGTTAATTTCTTTTTTTTTTAACTTAACCAGTTAATTATTTTTGTTTTTAACTTATTAACTTATTCAGTTAAAATGTTTATTGTTGTAACTTAACTTTTTATTGTTAATTATCATTGTCGCGCAGTTAAGTTAATTTTCTTTTCGAGTCATGCGTAATAAACTAAGCAATACTGATTCGTCGACTTTTTTACGATTTTGGTAATTTATTTTCGAATTATATATATTATAATAATTTAATTGTTTACACAGTGTTAAATGTCTTGGTAAATGTTTGTGTATAACGAAATACTATGGTAGCTTATGACTTAAAAATATTGTACTTACCTTCAAAAAAAAAAATAACTTTTTTTAACTGTGATAAGTTAATTTTATTTTCTATCTTAACTTTAAACTTATCTAGTTAAATTTTTTTTTGTTAACTTTTGACTTAACTGAAGGCAATTTAATTGAATTAACTTGACTTTCCACAGTTAATTATTTTCATTAACTTGCCCACCATTGACGATATCTTGTTACTGTCCGGAAGGTACAGTGGCGTGCAATAGGGGGGAGGGGGGAGTTTCGATGTTAATTTTTTTCTGTTTATAAATGGTTGCCATTGGTTACAAATCGTATTAGTAATAGAAATTAGTAATTTTTATTTTATATACAAGTGGTTACCATTGGTTGGTCAGACAGATCAGGCACAAGCATACATCAAATAGCCGTGTTTACATGGCCTCTAAGAAACTATATCTTAAAACCCGAACACCTCCCAATAGCGGACGTTTTCTCGCGGAACCGACTATACAGATAATTTCTACGCAATCAGAACCCTCTGAAGATTAGCAATACAGCGGACACCTCCGGGCTCCGAACAACCGACGAAATTTCAGCGACCGAGAGTGTCCGGTATTCAGAGGTTTCACTCCACGCAGTATTATAATGTGTACACACAACAATGTGCAGTCACGACGTGCGCATAATATTATAGCTGGACATGCGTTATATTATACCTATAGGTACGTATTCTGTTCAGGTGAACGTCTTAAGGTAACAGTCTAATATAATATTGTTGTATTGTACGATTCGTCGAGGATGCGTTGGGCGAACAATGGCGTGTGTGCCGGGGAAATCGTCGTCGGACAGCTTAATGACCGGCAATTTCGGTGTTCACTGGAAGCGTCAAGAGTGGCGCGCGCACGAGATGTCGTGTCGAACCATGGGTACCACAGATACCATAATAGCCATATATACATATAGCTTTATAGCCAGCTAGCTGGTGTATGGACATAACTATAAGTGTGATGGTATAATATCACGAAGTACCCATCGTGTCGGAGAGAAAAATGTTGTTTTCCTCATGATCCACCGCCCCCGACGATTTTTTTTTTAAAATTTATCGATACCTCTGCAGGTTTATAATTTCAGATCGATCGACATTATAATATATGGAGAGGGCGCGAGCGACGAAAAACGGTAATAATTACAATCACCATCTATTATCATATTATTATTAAAATAATAAACGACGTGCTGGCCGTCGTCGATGGGAGCTGCAGGGAGGAAGATAAATGTCGATCGATCGACCGTTTCCTCTGGCCGTCTGTCATGGGAACGAGAGCACGTTAAATGCCGGCGGCGGCCAAGACGGATAGAGAAGTCATAATCGACCGTGTTCAATGACGCGTGCTGCTGGCGGGGGTGTTTCTGGTACATAATATAATATTATTATTATTTTATCATTTAACGTCGACGCGAGTACACTCCTACGACAGGTACCCTATATAGTGGACCTACGTCGAGGAACAAAATGTGCGACTTTCGAAAACGGTTTTTGGAAATTGGAAAAAAAAAAACAATTCAGTCACACGATTATTGTATTATTATATTGTAACTACTTACGCCCGGGCGGGTGCGAGCTCGCGTAACGAATGAATAAGAATCAAATTTATACGCCCCCCCCCCCCCCCTAACCGGGAGCCATTTCGGAAAACTCGTTTTCCTTCGCGTATATTATGCGTGTGGCGCGCGTGTCCGCGACGATTGATCACTATCGTTATCGGTCGTAAGTTGTTTTTTCTCGTTTGTTTTTCTCGTCGTCACTTCGGGGAGGATCCATCACCGCGAGACCTTCATCACGTATGTCGAAAACGAATGATTTCTCGTCTCATTGGACAGCTTTTGCTTTGGTGGGGTGGGAGCTGATAATTTGTTAAACGAGAGAGGCTCGACTTTAACGGACCCTTCCTCGAGATGCTGACCGTTTAAACTTTAGCAGAGATTTTCATACAAGTTGTACGAGACTTGTGTATCCATCGCGTTATCTGTACCTATTTAAGGATGTAGGAAGGCGTTGTATAGGTAAAGCATACAGGTAATTAAAATGCTAAAGATGTAATTTGTATATTATATTTTAAGCATTTTTAGAAAATGTTACAAATTATTTATCCGATTATATGGAGTTGTAATGTATTCCATTGTGTAAGTCCGTCTTAAGCGAGTCGATAGTTTTGTCATTTAGTCATCCTTTTTAACCTTGATTTAGTCATCCTTTTGAATTTAGTAAAACTCTCAAGTCTTAAAACAAAGTAAATAATAGTTATGCTAATTATAATTTCAAACGTAAAAACCATTCATAGTTGCAGCCCACATCAAACCATATTTCTTTATTTCATTTTTTTTTCGTTTGGACAAATTATCTAAGTCGTACCATAATTTCCATCTGGTCGACTCAAAATAATCATAGTAATCATTCTATTACTGTTCGCGTTAAGCCCCGACTTTTGATATAGAGCATCTAATACTGCTTATCCCCCCTCACCGATTTCCACTTATACGGCTGTACCACAACGTTATACTACTGACGAAAGCTAAAAATACACAAGTGTAACCTAACCGAACCAAAATACAACTGTAAGGCACGTCGTCATGTCGCGCGCTCAAGTCTTCCGCGACTACAAACGAGACGACCTGTTGACGCACACACTATATTATAAATCAGAAAACATCTGTGCTCGTATACGAGTTTGCTGCTGAGGTAATAAGTCGACACGATTCGGTCGTAGTAGTAGTACCCTCGTACTTATCATCACTGTATACAGTGAAATAATGTATTATTATGACGAGTCGGTATTGACAGCAGGATCGTCGGATATTTTAAACTCTCCGGTATCATACCGTGGTGAGTATTATTCTAATATTATTATTATATCACGTGCACGTCGTAATGCGTGTGTGCAGGAGACCTCACCGGTGGGTTAATAGCACACTCGATTCGTCTTCCGAAATTTATTGTGCTGAGGTGACGCACTAAACTGCGCTGTCGAAGAGATCGCGCGAACAAGACTAATTATTACCATCGCATAATATAACAGACACGCGCGCACACATACGCGTCATTGCAGGACACGTAGTTTTCCTGTACCCCCATTTAAGTCGGACAAATTCGGAGGGCAGTGAACGAAATATATTTCAGACATAAACACGTATCATATACTATTACTGTATAAAACATCAACACACACGAGCATTTCGGACGAGCGTGATATTCGAAAACGATTGATTACTGCACGGAGTGTTAAGACACGTCGTCGCGGACTTCGAACGAGTCTTCGTATCATATATTAATATGTACTTTATATATACACGAAGCACCCATTTATATATGAAAACTGTGTATAGGTACCCAAATACTCGTATTGTATATTTATCATGTCTGGCCGGCCGTCGATGATGATGATGAGAACTTACGTGTAATTAATCATCTAGACGCTCGAACGATTTACACGGACGAATTGATTATGTTGTGCACACGCGCATGCGCGTGTTACCTTATATTACAGCGTTACATATTATGATACATGTGAGTGTAGATCGACCGAATGCATAGTATTGCCGCAAGTCCAGAGACGACTGCAAACGAAACTTGGAAAGACCTTTATAGGTAGGTACATGCTACCTATACCTGATATTATGCAGAATTGTGCACTGAAATGTCCAAGAGGGGGAGGTTATTAAAAAGACATGCAGGGTGTTTCACCTCGAGCTCTCTTCCCCCCTTTTAAATTTACCTATTTTACTTTGTGTACTGATGAGATAGTCGGTCCGGTTTAGAAGATATGCGAACTACGCCACTACGGGAATTTGAACATTTTGTTTAATATTATTAATCCATCAACGTTTATAGCTTGTTAAAATGGTAAAGAATAATAACATTCTAGGTCCAATATTACACCTTTTTATGGAGTATTATCCTTAGTATAAACATTTCAATGACCAAGAATCTACTAGCTAGAATCATAGGCGCAAATTGGGAGGGGCTTGGGGGTGCTTAGGATAATTAGGTAGTATTATACATAAACATTTTCTAAAAACGTATCCACTAAAACATTTACAACAAAAAAGGGAGGTTATCATTTGAAAAACAGTAATAGCCTCAAGACACTAATATATTCTTACAAGTTGTACAAAATATCTCAAGAAATTGAAAATATTGAGTATATTTAAAAATTCTAAAGTTCAAAATAAATTCATTGATAGAGGAAAAATAGTAGTAAGTACGTATGTTTGGGGTCGATCACCCTGTATATTTTTTAAGAAAACATTTTTTGAACATTGAAATAAAATTTCGAGGGGAGGGGGAAGGATTGAACACCCAAACCCCTCACCGTTTGTGTACTCCACTTTATATAATGTGTGTTATGTTTAAAATGCAGCTGTCCGATGGCAAACGCTCTTATGCACACGCGTGACGATTATTCTGATATGGTTATGACGACCTTATCGGACGACTGTGAAATTATTTGTACAAGTCTTTTGACTACGACAGCTAGTATGACAAACGTCACCACAGCATGCAGGGTGCAGATAAACACACTCGGCGAACACGTGTCAACCCAAAACCAAAATAATCTACTTGATGAGCAATCTTCGAAACATCCGACTCCAAAACACGGGTCATTTCAAGTTCTTCTTAAAATAACGGATTACATTTAAAACAAAAAAATCCATGTACGGTCGTCCCGGAAAATTCGGCGTGCAAATTGACGGCCACGTTACTACAATATTATGTGCCGTTTATACCTCATGTCAATCCGCTGGGCATATTATAATATTATGCTAACACATTTTTCCACTCAATAATATGATGTTCATAATTTTTTGTCGAAACACTCTGTATAATAATGACCGAATGCGCGAAAAACGAATTGAATATTATTCGCACGTCTCGTTTTTTATTCACCGTTGCCATTTTATAATAAACAGCGGAAATGACTAGGAGGGGTGGGGTGCGTCTGTGTCTCGAAGTCACAATATTACTCTTCTCTGCAAATGAGTAAAACAAAAATAACCGACAAATGCCAGTTATCGACTCACTATAAAATAACTGAACTTTTGTTATTATCAATATTCAATATTTTTAAAATTGACAATAATCTTATAGCAATTGAACTGTATAGTTGTGTATTTGAATAAAAGTTATAATATAGTTTGATCGATTACCTACGTTTTACGTCTATAAGTTCCTTCTGTCCAATCACATATTATGATATTCGTATTCGGGTCGTTGAATGTCGTCATGATGCATCGAAAAAGTTTGAAATTAAATAAGGGCTGTATGCGCAGTGACCCAGACACCCCTACAATTCAGGGGTTGTCCCGCATTTGAGATCACTATCCTCTTTTTTAAATGGTCCCGCATTCAGGGAAACAGAAAATATTTATAATTTTTTTGTTCGTTTAATCTGTATTAGAAAAAAAAATCATTGATTTATCTGTGATCCAAATGGTTCATATGGTCAGGTTAAGTTATGAGATTGGCCCCATTGAAGTGGCACCTAACCTAACCTAAGCACCGACTACTAATGTATTATATCATAAATACATACATATCATAACATACATATTATATTATTTAAAATTCAAATGTAATTTTACTATTAAATATGACGCGTATACGTGTAGGCATAGTATGTTTTATATAATACAAGTTGATAAAATTAATTAGCTTTCAGTGGTAAGCGTTTTAAAATCGTATCCAATACAACCTAACCTATAACCTATAGGTCGGTAATTTAAAAAAAAAAATATTAGAAAGTGTTTATTCTGCGGACAAAAAAATTATGGTCACACTATACTTATATTATGCTTCGACAATGCCTGTTCACGGTAGGTACGACGACGTAGAAGGGACTATAATAATAGGTAGGTACTATGGATTATCATCATAAAGTGTCTGTTTCGGCGGTATTCAGCTGCAGCGGTCTTATACGAGTTAAAATCGCACTGTTCGGACCACTATATATGTAGGTACACAATCACATACATAATATGTATTTTAATATATACAACGACGCAGGTAAAAACGCAGATTTCACGAAGATTATAAACCGATTGATACATCGTCGTGTGTGCACAATAATAATAATAATAATAATAACGTAAAACGCGTTTTACTCGTGTATAATATAATATTATAATGTCGTATTGTGTGTGTTATTATTATTATTATTATTATTAACGTCCGCAGAGGGGAAAATAAATAAACGTCCGCAGTAATAGTCGTCGGCGAACATTCCGTTTATTATCATAATATTATATTATGTACCTATAATACACGCCGCAGCAGCGATACGTTATACGACCGCAAAACACACAATATTATAATAATATATTATACGAAACGCAAACATGAACGTTTCGAGCATAAATCTCCTCTATGCGTGTGTTTAGGCCAGCCACAATGATAATAATTATAAAAAATAAGCGCGTACACGATGGCAGGACGTGGCCGGCCATAGCAAAAGGACGGTGGAGACGTGCGCCGGCTGTAGCAGGACACGTTTTTGCGGGGGGGGGGGAATGGCCGTTTTCAAAATCCTATCCTCCCCTTTTCGGCAGATTTACGTTTTGACCGAACCCAAAGGCTGAAAGGCTAACATCATCATCTACTTTCTGTTGCAGTAGGTATCGAACATTATTTAGAATAATATATAATAAGTTGTATAAGATGTATAATATGAGTAAAATGTACTGTAACAGGATAGAATAATTGTATTGTGCGTGTATACATTGACAATAAGAATATATATTTTTTGTCAGTTATTATTTCATCGATATCTTCTACAGTTATTATACAAGCGTGCTCATAGTTTGTCCACGTTCATACTTCATAGTTGTTAGAGGTGCCTACTTTATTTTACGTACATAATATAGAAAATTATGAAATGTATAAGTTAGGTATATTTTTTTTTTTTGAATAAACGAACAAAATGAATAAATACATCAGCTACTACTAGGCCATGGAGATTAGTTTAAATGTTTTTATTTGTCTATCTAATTAAATAATAAATGACAAAAATTAAGTGGGTTTTATTAGTACATTTATAAATATTGTATAAAATAAAGTACCTAAATATTATATTTTTTGGTTTGGGCGAAAAGGAAAGGGTACGATTTTGGTTGAAAAGCGTCTCCCCCGTTGTTGCCTGTAGGTACTGCAAGACACGACTGGCGTATAGCCTCCGCAATTCATAGGCGCAACTAGGAGGGGGGCTTGGGGTGCTTTAGTCTCACCAATCTCTAATTCAGCCCCCCTACCTACTGTTGTCTGTTAAGGAACACCAAAAATAATATAATTAAAGAGCAATTTTCTTATTTTGTGTTAGTTTTTTTTTTAAATTGACGTTTTAACCCCCCCCCTACCCCTCCGAGTTTAGTATACATAATTTTAGCACCCCCTAAAATGTAGCCCATGCCGCGTCTGTGACATATTATTATTATGATAATATTGTGGACGAAACAATAAATTGAGCAAACCGAAGATCGACAACTTTTCGTTGATTTGCATTGAAAGTGCGGTGTTACCGCAAGAAGAGTCTGAAAATACTGAAAATGTATATAATATATAAGACCGCGGTTATTGAAATATTACGAGAACCGTAGTATAGGTATAGTATACCTATGTGGAAACCGGAACCTGAACATAGCAGTTGTTTCCCTGAGAACCAAACTGAAACCGAACCCGGAAAAAAAATCATAAAGAGTCCCTGAATTATTATATATTTTATCATAATAGTATATTATAATATAATAATCATATAATGACATAAAATGATAATAACGGGTGTTCCGCCCGTTTTATTATTCGTGCCCATCGCGAGTTTTTTTACGTCGTCGTCGTCGTCGTACGATTAGACCGCGAGAAAAATATGAGTTTATATATATATATATTAACACATGTGTATGTAGGTAGGCGAGTAAGCGACGAGTACAAATGTATATGAGAATATTTATATATATATATATATATACATACATATGTATAGACGAGGGAGGCGGACAACTACTATATACTTGTGCGACGATGGTGAAAAGAAAGAAAGAAAAAAAGAAAAAAAAACCGATTGCCAGCCCAAGTCTTCATTAGGTCGTTTGCGGAGAGAAATCCGATCCCCTAATGTACATGCGATTTTAATTTCGAAAAACCCGACCGCCTGTTGCACCTGCTGGGTTATGTCAACTGCATAATACGCGCCGAGCAGGAGCAAAACGACTCTCTCGTAATCTCCTCACTCCGCCCCCACGGAGACGACTTTTTGTACATATTATATATATATATATATATAATACATAAACGAGTATATAATATATATATATATATATATATCGTCCTCGCGCGATATGTGCATTGGACGGGAAAAATATCGTTTATGATTGTTTTTTTTTTTTATCATTATTATTTATACGTTTTTTTTTTCCAGTTTTTTCTCAGTCGACTTGGATGCATTATAATATTTTCACTACCCCTCCACCAACCCTTCCGAGCTATCGGATTCCCACTGCAGCTCTCGAGTTATTATTATATAACAGGTAATCGTAGGTAGCAGCATCGAGGAGCGTTATATGTGGGTATAGGTCGTACTCGTATAGGTACTTGTTGTATTGTTTTACTCAGCGGGTTATGGTGCAATATTATTATTGTATTAATTTCGGACATTATTATAATACGATTGTCTGTGCGGAATCCACTCGAAATCTTCTATATGCGTCTATACAATATATTATATAGCAGTCTTTCTCAAAGTGGGCGATAGCGTCCCCTGGTGGCCGTTGGCAGCCTCCAGGGGGGGCGGTTTAAGACCAGAAGAAATTTTAGGGGAGTTAAAGAGGACTAAATGGCCGATTAAAAAAATGCTTAAAATGATGTTCTTCTTATATACTTTAAATTAAAATTAAATACCTATTATATGTCCACATAATTCCCCTTATTACATCTGTTTATAAGTAGATTCAAGCTTGACATTAACAAACTTGTTAAAGAGCATCTTGTTCATCCTTCACATTAGGAAGGTTTTAATTTCAATACAAATAATTTTAAATATGATTTAGTGGTAAATGTTTGAACTTGAGTAAACATGTAAGTTTGATGTCGTATATAATAAGATAATATGGCGTATTTAAATATAATAATTACAATAACTAGGTATATTGTTTTTAAAACGCACTACAGATGGTAAGCTTAAACAAATTTGGTTGGACTTAGACAATTATTGATTCTGAAAGTGGGCTGTGGATTAAAAAAAATTTTGAGAACCTGTGATGTATATAAGTATCTACTATCTATGTCCTATAGTTCGTATAGGATTATAAATTATAATAATATAATAAATTACACAAACGATTTAAGCACGCCCCCAAACGCGAAACGGTCGAACGATACGATTAACGCTGGATGATTATGAGTTTTCGTGTTTTTTTTTATCATCCGGTAAATACCGAAATACCGACGTACTTGTGTAGGTACATAACTTAGGCACTTATATATATCGCATGCACCGGAGATATGACAGTGCGGTATGATAATGCAATTAAACACCGCGGCTGTAATTTTATTGTAACAATATAACGATGACCGGGGCCCGGCGGTACAGATGTAAATAAAAATATGTATAACTCACGCACGACCAATTATTAATAATATATACAGCGGAGAG